AACGAAAGTTGAACAAGTGGTCCTCCCTGCCCTCGGGAATGCCACGGCTCCCAAAATCCAGTCTCCTCCCTTGTGCAATCACAACTCCTCCTCACCACCGCTCCCCCCGCCACCCACTGCATCCTGGAGTCACTCAAATTTTAATCATGACTGTGGCTAGATACCACCCAGAAGACACAGGAGTGGCATATTCTAGAGTAACTGGTAGGACAAGAGGAGCTCAGGAGACATGGAGCCTACTTACATGAATTTTTCAATAATATGTTACCTAAAGACTTTAGAAGATAACAATTTTAGTTATTTTAGTATTTAGACGTTGAGACTGTTCATGATCATTACATGGTCCCTTAGCCAAGGAGCCTGTGGTATGGACCATACCGTGTCACAGCACTCGAGTCAGCCCGTCTGTGCCGTACTTGCCATCTATAAATGGGAGTAATCCGGCACCAGCCTCACAGGGATATCTAACGTGGGGATGAAGTGAGTTCTTACTGGTAACAAGCCTGGGCCAAGGATTGGTGCCCAGTCCGCACTCAATAAAATCTTAGGTGTTATTATTAATACCATCGTATTATTCAATGCACAATTCCAAACTGACTGTGATAAACTTCAGAGTTCAGGAGTGTTTGCAAGAGACTCTCTGAGTCACCTCTTCTTCCAGAACCTGGGGGAGTCCTCCTAGCCTGGCAGAGCCAGCTCCTCACAGCCAAAACCAACCCAACACCACTGTGCCCTTCCTATTAACGGTGCCACATTCTCCACGGTCTGAGCCCTCCAGTCTGTGTAAGAGCAGGGGGCTTGGAGTCAGAGAAGCCAGGTTGGGAACTGTGGCCTCTGTCATGTTCTAGGAGTGTGACTTTGGGCGAATAACGCCACCTCTGTGAAGCCCCATTTCAGCATCTGCAAGTGTGGTTAAAGCGGCATGGCTGCTGGGAGGGTTAAAGATAATTTTTATCCACTATAAAGCCGGGCATATAATAGGTGTGAAGTAAATTATTATTATCCCAATTATTATTATTATAACCACTGGTAATTAGGCGGCGGTGCCAACTCCTCCCTCAGGTTCATGCAGCCTCTTTTCCTCCCCAGCCCCCACCCGATGGCATCTTCCTCCAGCGACCTTAAGACCCCAGAAAGCTTTCGAAGTGTGGGGAATGCTGACAACTTTTGGTGTAGAGGTTGAGCCCCTAGATCCGTCTCCCCCACTTCCTAGGGCCCCACATGGGGAGGGCTTGGGTGGTGAAAGAAATTGGGCCCCCTCGTCTCTCTACCCAGGACCCTCTTGTGTTTCTTAAGGCTCTGAGATGCGACTTTCCTGATTTCTCCCCACAGGACACACCGGGCTACGTGAGTGTCCACCTCGGACCTGGAGGACAAGATCAGGCGGGCAAGGAGGTGAGGGGAGACTGATGGAGAAGGGCTGAGACCCGACAGGGACCGGCTAGACTGGACAGGGTCCAGGGTCTTTCTAGAGGGGACGGTCAACAGAAGGAACCAGCCCAGTCACACCAATATAGGAGACGGAGGCTCCTGGAAGAAGTCTGGAGACCCCCTCCTTAGGACCTGAGATGACATCAAGGGCAGCATGGCCATTGGCAGCTCCAAATGCCAATCAGAGCTGGCCAATGGGATGCAGGCTGGGGCGGGCCATGCGCGGAGCTCTGGCTCTAATTCCCAAGGCTCCTCCCCCTCAACCCCTGGGGGTTCAACCTCTCAGTTTCCCTCGCTGGACCCCACGGCATCAGCAGAGATGCCGCAAAGATGCCCATCTCGGCATTGCCAGGGACAGGGAAACGGGCCAATCTAAAAATGCCCCACAGCAGGAAATTGTTTAAATAGGGCACAGCCCACATGGAGCTAAGCTCTCATCGTTAGAAAGCACCCTGGGGAAGGACGCTTCCCTGATGCGGAAAATGCTCGAGACTTGTTATCAAGTTAGAAATACGTAATACAAAGCTGCATCCGACGGGATCATAGTTAGCAAAAAGTATAGGTTAATTGGCAAAGATAGACATGATATGTACAGTGTGTTTATATGTGTTTTCCACAGTTTTATGTGTACACAGACATACAAAAATTGTGAAAAATATTAAATATTAATAGTGCTATCTCTATTTTAATATTGTTCTTTA